GATGTCTAGTAATTCAGACACAAAGGCCACCAATCTACTCAGGCAATATCAAATTGAATAAAACATTCAAGTCAACCAAGTGTAAAAACTAAGAAAATTAAAATTTAAGGTGAAAATTATACCATGCATGGAATAATTATTTGAATTAAAGTAGAAGAAAATTGGTTTTTATAAATTTCCTCTTCAGAGACTATTTCATGAAAAAAGTACAGGGAGTCTAAGTATACAGGCACTCTTTCAACGTACAGGATCCCCTGTTCTTTCAAAGCCACTAATTCCATGATACAGAGATAAGCAAGAGGCCTCCCCTCTCTCACAACTAAAACATGATTAGATCTACGAGCTAAACTTTGGGAATGCATCCAAAGCACTTGGAACTCACTAGATACCTCGCTAAGAAGCATCTCAGGAGTTCAGGCCTGTAACCTAGTCCTTAGGAGGTCTAAACAGGAAGATAAGTTCAAGATCATGCTTTCCTACAAGTTGAGCTGGGGACCACCCTGGTCCAGTATCAAAAGCACAAAACAAGAAGTATGGTGGACCACACCTTTAATTCCAGTGCTTCTAGAGTAAGAAGGAAGGATGAGTTCCAGGCCAGCCTGGTCTGCATGAGTTCCAGGCCAGTCAGGGCTACCAAGGAACACCTGTCTCAAACACAAACAAAGAAGAGAAAGAAGAGTCATGTCATCCAGGGACATGGCCACATTGGGTTTTATCCCAACCACACAAGGTTAGCTCAACATATACGTAAATAAATGTAATATAATATATACAAACAGACTAAGGAGAAGAGGAGGAGGAAGAGGAGGAGGAGGAAGAAGAAGAAGGGGAAAAATGAGGAAGGAAGGAAGGAAGGAAGGAAGGAAGGAAGGAAGGAAGGAAGGAAGGAAGGAAGGGAGCGATAGATGGATGAGCAGCTCACAAGTAGTACATACCTAGCATGTGCAAGAAAGACTCGGGTTCGATCTCTAGTATCATAAACAAACAAACACAGACCACTACTCTCCTACCTTAAGTAAAAATCCACAAAGTAAAGAGTTATATGCAGCAGCAGGTAAATATGTTTCAAAGTATTTAGATCAGCTTTTGTAGATAAATTCTGCTAGTACAAATGGGCTTTTAGTGTGTTCCCATGTATATGTACAGACGGATTCACATGTGCCTTCAGTGTCAAGACTTTATCATTCAAGATCTTTTCAATTATTCTACTTCTTGCTTTTGTATGTTTCAATTTTGTAGTTATTTATTTATTCTGTATATGATGTATAAATGTCACGATGCATATGTGGAGATCAGAGGGCAGGGTATAGAAGTTAGTGCCCTCTGTCCACTATGTGGGCTCTGGAGCATCATCTCAGGTCGCCAAGCTTGGGAGCAAGCACCTTTAGTTACTCAGTCAACATAGCTTATACAACTTTTTAATTTATATACAACTGATCAAAAAGGCAAAGGCAGGTGGCGCACGCCTTTAATCCCAGCACTTGGGAGGCAGAGGCAGGTGGATTTCTGAGTTCGAGGCCAGCCTGGTCTACAGAGCGAGTTCCAGTACAGCCAGACTACACAGAGAAACCCTGTCTTGAAAAACCAAAAGAAAAAAAAAAAAAG